TATCATGTATTATCCCTGTTGAATAAAAACATTATTTTAAAGCATTGATTTTGTTGTATCAGACACAGCTTTACCCTTCATTTTTATTTATTCAACCATTGAATTATGTTCAATGAACAAAAGGTTCTCCCACTATCACATTGTCACTACACAGTTATTCATACAAGAGTTCATGATAACAATATTCTTGCAGTTTTCCTTGTTGGGCTCTTTTGGCAAATGAATTACACTCAAAACATAGAAAAAAAGGGAACAGAAATAGTTTAAGAGGAGCTTGATTATTTAGATGATATTATCATATGGGTATTATTAACATGGTTTCAATAGTTCCCTTTTTAAATATCAAAGTTATGGTTAATATCGCCAAAGACCTGATTAAATCTCCCTCCGGAAGGAACTTTGGGATTTAAGCCTTTGCAGACCATTGCACGAAAACCTATATAACACACTACAGGAAAGGGAATGGCCAAGATGCATCATAGGGCCTCTTAGAACTGACTCAGAACGGCCTTTTCTTTACTCCACCAGGTGGCACCGAAGATCAAGGCCATGATGATGGAGTCAGGGACCACCATGGTGGGCTACCAGCCTCAGGGCAACAAAGTCAACTTCTTCCGCATGGTGGTGTCCAATCTGGCGGTCACACAGTCCGACATCGACTTCCTCATCGACGAGATCGAGCGGATGGGAGTGGACCTGTAGAGCGAGACGCTCACCGTGCTGCGGACAGAATAATGAGAGCACATGTTTTAGGTTCTTTCTATCCAGGCTGTCTCTGTCTGAAGCACTCTGACCGGCTCTCTAGAGCATAGTTCCTCCTCTAGACAAAATATATAAGTATATTGTGAAGGCTCCGGGTACATGCTAACATCTAATGTATGTGTGTGTGCCGTGGATAAAGTATTGTGTTTCTTGTTTGTTGTCGTCTTGTGTGTCTGAGTGTGTGTGTGTTTTAACAATGAAAGGGAGAAAAGCACAGATGAAAATATAATAACCTATCATACATTTATTCTGCTCTATCATACATTTGCTAGATTCATGGGCGCTTTCAGCTGTACATATATGCCATCTCCAACCTAAAGACATGTGAAGGAGTGTGTGTGTGTGTGTGTGTGTGTGTGTGTGTGTGTGTGTGTGTGTGTGTGTGTGTGTGTGCGCACGTTTGACACCCTGTCATGTATTTGAAGCTGTGTTAAAAATAAGCTTATTATAACATAATGTGCACACCATAAGTACCAAGCTGCAATATTAATATATTCATTTAAGATTTAAAAAGCTACCCTTAAAAGTCTGTGACCACTTTAACTCGTAAAACGCTGGCTCGTTGTCTCTTGTTTCATGCAATCACGTGATATGTGTTTATATAACACTGTTACAATATTTAATTATATAAGAACTCATCTTTATTGCATTCCCACTGTTTTTCAGATTCAGGTATTTTATTGTAAATGTATCTTTATGTGTATTACGCAGTTATACATTTGTAAATGTAAACACGGGAACTTGAGTAAAGTTTATTTATATTGATATTGTCCGCCAAAGAAAGTGAATCGGGAACAGAACAATCCATCGTCCTTCTTATATAGATTATAGGTGTTTGTAAAACGTTACCTACAGTATTATTGACCCTCCACTGCGATGCAATTTCTATAGTGTGTGTTTTTCTGTGATTGTGACTCTTTTTGAATGTCTTGAGATGACTGGCCTTCTGATGAGATTAAGAATGAAGTCTATATATATACATATATATATTTCCCTGTCGGTCTTTTATTTTAGAGAATAGCACAAGGGTGTGAGAATGTACTCTCCTCTGGAGAAAGTATTGTTGTCTTAATCCTAATGCATTTACTGTAATATAGTATATATTCATTGTAAAACATATTCTCAGTGTAATGGGAACTCGATGGAATATCTGGTAGAAGAAGTTCCTGTTTATGTCTTTGCACAATGTTCACCTTTCTTTCTTCCATTGTAAATGGATGTGTATTATGGCAGTATTATATAGAGTTTATGTTAACAAAGTATTTATGGTATCTAGGGACCATTTTATGTGAATGGCACATTTGCATAAATCATATTTACAGTAATGTGTTTGTGCTGTATGTGGCCAATGACTCCTGTTTGTGACCAATCTGGTTTTCTGATGAAGCCAGCTGCAAAAAGGGAACGATTCCCAGGGGGCACTTTAACAGAATCATACCATCTTCAAAATATCTTTAATAAAGTCCATTAAAGAGAAACATGAGTCGGACTTATTGAAACACTCTCACACACGCGCGCACACACACACACATACCATGTATACATCACTTCAGGGGACATTACATTGACTTACATGCATTTCCTGGAGACTTATCCTAACCTTAACCATAACCAACACATGCCTAACCCTAACCCTAAACCTAACCAAGTCTTCACCCTAAAATTAATGATTCCCCTCATGGGGACCTCCAATGTGTCCCCATAAGGGAAGCCAGTCCCCACACGTGACTGTGTAAACAGATTTAGGTCCCCACAAGTATAGTAATGCTATACCACACACACACACACACACACCACACACACACGCACACACACACACACACACACACACACACACACACACACGTCACACACACAACCATTTTATTCTGTAGGGCTCCACACGCTGAGCTCTTTTTACACACATTCCTTTTTTGTGTATACTAATGTTTCCCACTTTCCCTCTGAACAGCCAGTAGCCAAACACACACACACACTCACACATTATTGCCTCTGCCTAATCATCCTCGAGGAGGCTTTTGTTGGCCCCCCGCTGAGTGTCGGATTGGCTGTTCTCCAGCGTGTAGTCTCTTATCAGTTCCTTCTCTCCTTTATTCTTCCCTTTCCTCTCCGTCTCGTTCCTCGCTTTTCCTCCTTTACTTTTTGAATTTCCTCTCATCTCGTCTTGCCATTATTCACCTACCAGAAATATGTGATGCAGCCTCACTAAGCCATGATTTAAGGAGAATCAAAGACATTGGTTACCTTAACATGCAGGGCTAAATGATTTGAAGAGAAGGGTGGTGGTGCTGTGAGGTTCAATGAGGATGTGATGTGCTGCCATCGCCCTCTGGTGGCCACTCTTTCTCAACCATCGTGCTCTCAATGTGCTACAAGGGGTTTTATAGCTTATAATAAAACCACAATAATCATTGTAACAGATATATATTTTTGATGTTCTTTTATTAGGCTACCGACAGAGTTGGAGCGAAGAACCTATTGAAATTGCTCGATGCTGCCTGATGGCCTTAGCATGCTTAAATCCTGGATATGTGTTGCGCACTGGAAGGATTGATGAAAAAAGGGGTTATCTTTGGGGTCTCATAATCGATACAAATGGCTCTATAGCGCCCCCTACAAATCCTAAAAAAGTTATTTTCGGACACCAGGGTGGAATCTTATCTAAAAAGTTATTTTTTAACACCAGGGGGGAATCTTATCTAAAAAGTTAGTTCCGGACATAAAGGAAGACCGCTTTATCTAAAAAGTCGACCTCCAGATAAGGGGGGACCTGATTTAAAATGTATTTTTGGACATAAGGGGAGACCCTTATCTAAAACGGTATACAAATACTTGGTTATTGTAATACTGTAAGGCCCAAAGTTTGTTTTAAGATCTAACTCTTCGTGACTCGTAAATTGTTGTCCTCTAAGTACAACAGAAAAGCTAAAGGGATGCACAAGGTTTTAAGAGTCCAACAAGATGAATTTGGCGTTCAGCCAAGAACTGCTAGCATTTGAAAATAGAAAGACCATTGCAGCTCTCACAACAAAGTAGGGCTGAAAGCTGTAAGAACTGATCCCAAATATATGTCAAATCAAGTCAAATATGTGATTCTAGACACTGTCGTAACATGATAACAGCATGTTGAAATTGTGACACACAAGCTTTCTGGCAAAGTACAGCTGGAATTTTCTAAAACTTAAATCTTTGCTCCATAAAGACCGAGAAATGAAAGCTTACATTTTAGACCTTAACAATAAAAGGTAGCTGCAGGGGTAATTTGTATAAATGTATGCACTAAGCAGGCATTAATTAGCTGCATGAATATCGTGTGAAATGTAAGAAAATGTTAATGCATAAATGCATGTAAGTACTGTAAATGGAGTCCTAGTTCTTTCCATCTTGAACTGAATGAGTTTCAAAGTAAAAGGCAGGGCACAAGTTTTATGGTTGGCATTAAAACATTTGATTAGGCCATTTGTTTCATGTGCTTTACAATTGAATTAGCCTTTCTTAGAGACTGAGACAACTGAGACAACAGAGCTGGATAATTGATACAATGCACTTTATAAGGCTATTGTATATTTAAATTAGACTTGTAAATGGTCAATGAGGGCAGATATCTTAAAAGAATAGGCAAACTTTCACAAAACTTTGCATTGAATAATAAAGTTAGAGACTGTTGTTTTATAAAATCAAGTGAGTTTGCAGCTTTGTCTTTCATTTCATGTGGCATAATATTTGTTTATAATTTTAATTGTAGTATAGGCCAACATTTATATAAATTATAGTGGTTTAAGTAGTGAATGGTGATCCCAAAAATGATGCCAAGATGATTACTATATTATAAAAATATTTAAACCTGAGATAAATATAAAATAAAAAAGTTCTGTGTTTTGTAAGCAGTAGCTTTTTCTACACTTTGTGTGTCGACTCAACACTCTTTGGAATTACAAATAAACCTTTGAGAACATTTGGACATTTTAATTGAAATTCTTTTTTTTCTTATTTTGTTGAAAAAATTGTGAGCAAACAGACATTCAGCAGGTCATAGACATTTCTACACAGTTTGTAAATGTTGATTCAATAAGTATGACAAGTGAACCAAGAGATTTGAGAGAAAGATTTAAACGTGAAAAATAAAGTACATACAACAAATATTCCATACAGCTTCTATGTGTTTGTCCATCAACAAATTGAATTCAACTGCAATTGAATCGTAACTGCCGAAAAGGCGTTATTTCCTGCCACGTAACGGCGCATGCGCATCGCTCAGCTAACCATTTGACGACGTGTACCCGGTGTGTACAAGTATTCAGGCATATCACCTCTGCTAGGTAACAAACAGCCATTTGAACATAAAAAGCCTTAAAAGAGCATAACATGGGAGGCGCGCAGAGTGTGGAGATACCGGGAGGAGGCTCCGAGGGATACCACGTCCTCAGGGTGAGTTTTTAGCTTCTACACACTGCTGTTAGCTGTTAGCAGTTACCAGTTAGCTGTTAGCTGTTAGCTTAGCCTTGGCTCAGAGGCGGAGGACTCCCTGATCTGTGTGTTGACGAGAGGCCGAGGATGACTGCAGGGGCCTCCGTCGTGAAACACAAACACAGTGTTATAAACAATGCACTCTTCGTTAGAGTTGTGTTGGAGTCATATATTTTGTATAGTTGTGTTTGTACGAATAGCTGCTTGTTCGCTAGTTAAATATGCTTAACAGAAGCTAACTGATGGAGGGGGGCTAGCCAAAGCTACGTATCAGCACTGAATGACAGCTGCCAAGCTGGTTTTGTTGGTGCATCCAATATCGGACATGTCCCACCCTGTGTACAGTGATTTGTCTCTCTTGTTTTACAAAAATGTAAACTACGAAGAATCGTGAAGCTAGCTAACAATGGACAGCTACTGTCAGTTGTCTTATTCCAGTAACAATCAGCTCATTTGAATGATAACATTAGTAGCTAGATGCACAATAGTCATGGCGGAATTGGTCTCATCCTGAAAGGAGCCGAGATCAGATAAACCGTTTTAGCTGCTATATACTGTAATGTACATTGAGCCAATGATAATCATGAGTTTCAATTCAAACCAAACCAAAGCCTGATATATTTGTTTTCCAGCTCAGGTTTTACATGTTTATTTTGTATGTACAGAGTTATTGAATACTCTTAATGTTCAAGAAATGAAATGCAGAAAGTGACTGTAAAGCAGCAGCTAATTTTCTTTCACTTTTATTCAGGTTCAAGAGAACTCGCCTGGACACCGCGCCGGACTGGAGCCTTTCTTTGACTTCATCGTCTCCATCAACGACACCAGACTGGTAGGGAAAACCTGCAAACTGTATCTTCTTAACAGGAGCAAATAAATACAAGTGTTATGATAGTGAACTGCATGTGCCATGCCCCTGTGCTCTTCCTCACCCCTCTGTCTACAGAACAAGGACAATGATACCTTGAAAGACCTTCTGAAAGCCAGTGTGGAGAAACCAGTTAAGATGCTGGTTTACTCTTCGAAGACTCTGGAGCTGCGGGAGTCTACAGTCACCCCCAGCAACCTGTGGGGGGGCCAGGGCTTGCTTGGTGTCTCCATTAGATTCTGCAGCTTTGAGGGAGCCAATGAAAACGTTTGGCATGTGCTGGTAAGCAACCTCAAAGTCTATAGAGTGGTGCCATGATAACGTCTTTTTCTTAGGATGACCTGGAAATGAGCATCACAAGGGCTACCTCAACAAAAGCAACCGGCTTTCTTTGAATTGTTTTTCGGAATATTGCAAAAAAATAAGATCTAGAGCAGGCTCACTTTTAGGATACTTAGATGTTTTTGTTCAGCAGGATAATCTCTAAATATTAACACCATTTTTATAAAAGTATAATTGCAATCGACAGATGTAAATATGTAACGTAATGCAAAAAAACACCGCTAAGCTAAAGGCAGCTCGTTTCGGACGTGATAACATAAGTAGTCTTATTTAGTCACTTGATAGCAATCGCCATTTTTAAGACATGGCATTAACTTTAGACATTTATGTAATATTATGAGTGTAATATCTACCCACGTATTTTATGTTGTGGGAACAAAACGGAAACATCTCTTAAGCTTGTGTTTACCACATACCTGGTCAATAAACATTGACTTTGAGACAAGCGAACCCGAAAGTCATTACCCGGTTTAAGGCTCATTCCTGCACCACTCTATAATATAGTTTTTTGGTAGAATGCTAGTTTGTTAACTTATTCTCCACCTGTCTAACAGGATGTAGAGCCTAACTCCCCGGCGGCCCTCGCCGGCTTGCGGCCGCACACTGACTACATCATTGGAGCCGACACTGTTATGAACGAGGTATTTTATCAGGCAACTGTCACTACTGCACATTCTCCACCTGATAATGATAGTGAATGTGTGTCTCCTAACGTTATCCACCTCCTCCGCCCCTCTGTGACTCTATCTGCAGTCAGAGGACTTGTTCTCGCTGATAGAAAGCCATGAGGGGAAAGGCCTGAAGCTCTACGTGTACAACACGGACACCGATAACTGCAGAGAGGTCATCATCACACCGAACAGTGCCTGGGGAGGAGAGGGCAGGTAACAGACGTTACACACTTTACCAATCATTGTTGGACCTACAGGTTTCAAATGAAGTTATAGGTTTTTAATGGTTCATTGTTTAGCTCTCTGGTTCGCAACTTCCACTTTCACTGGTTTCCAACTTTCACTTGTTGTTTTCGGTCGAGGCTGGTTTTCAATGGAAAAAGCTCTATAATGATTACATTTTATTTCACTTTATTGTCATTGCATTATGGGTAGATGCTACCAGATCTACTATAAGCCACCTGCTCAGTGTCGAACAGTAAAGGGATATAAGAAGAGACCAGCTGGGGAACATAATGGAGCATTTAGCAGCTAAACAGACAGATATTTCCCTCAAGCAGCTGGTAGAGACCAAAAACAGAGTCAATATTGCTCAAAGTTAATTATAATGTTGCTTTAAGATTCACCCACATCGACTTAAAGGTTCCTTGAGTCGTTTTTGTACCCTAGTAGAGCTTTGGAGCTATTTCCTTTGAGTTTGTTTATCATGCGTAGTACACAAACACTCAATAAGGTGACAGGATACACATTTCTGCCAATTGTTTTACATTACTGCGCTATTTCATTCAGCAGTAACATGCTAAGATACAGAAGAAGAAGAAGTATGCTAGTAAACCCTGATTTTGTGATGTATTTTTAATAATACAAACGACTTTTACAACATTTTGTAAGGAAGTAAATGCATGGCAACCCATTTGATGGAGCACAGGGATATACACAGCATATTTTTAAAAAGTGATGATATGACAGTATTGTTTACACCAAGTGGTCATAAAGATTGTTATTGCAGGTTGGGGATTCAATATGTCAGTTTATCTGGCCAATTCTCTGGATGTAATTATTTTTGGAGTCTTTATAAACAGTCTGTGGTTTGGCACAGACACATGGCCACCCCATTTGAACCCCACCCACATAGTTCTGATTTCACTACACACTCGGGGGGGATTGTAACCTGACAGTTTGTTTACACAAAACCATCTGAGAAGAAGCTGCCGTTAGAAGGGGTTCTGGAAAGTGAAGCCACTTTAAAAAAAAAAAAAAATACAAGGCAGCTGATTGGATGCACCACCTGCCAATGAAAGTCTTGCAGAAGCCAGTCGAAAAGTGGAGGGCCGCCCCTCCCTACAGGCCAATCACGCAGGCTGCATGGGGCCCCGCCCAGAGGGCCTCAGCTACTGTGCACAGTTCTCAGCGAGAGTGAGAGACAAGTGACAAGGGGAGCACGTCTGTAACCCGACACCGTTGCAATGAATCGACATCTGACCAATCACGGCTTTGATACGGCCACTAGTGCAGGTGAAGAGATGTCGGTGAAAAGACAGATTCAGTCCAGCGCAAAAAACAAACCATGAAGAAACTAGAGCATCACTCGAAGGTGGGTTATTGTCAAATGTACAACTTGCGAATGTTGTATAAGTCAAATGGCCAATTGCCATATTAAAACATCAGCTGCAATTCAGGACATGAAGAAGGCAGTCTCTGCATAGCATACAGGCTAATGGAGATGCAGTTATTTCCAGCATTCTTTATTTACCATTCATTCAAGTATGTTATGCCTTTTATCTGCTAATGTACAGGAGGAAGAGTGATACACTGTCTGTCTAGTTGGCTTACATAACAGTTAAAGTTTACAGCCTAAAAAACATGGAGCATTTTTCCCCCCTTTTATTCATTTGTATGTCAATTTGCACATTTCATGGTGATGCTCAGCCTCTCCCCTTAACTCCTAACAGTCATCATCATGGTGACGCTCAGCCTCTCCCCTTAACTCCTAACAGTCATCATCATGGTGACGCTCAGCCTCTCCCCTTAACTCCTAACAGTCATCATCATGGTGACGCTCAGCCTCTCCCCTTAACTCCTAACAGTCATCATCATGGTGACGCTCAGCCTCTCCCCTTAACTCCTAACAGTCATCATCATGGTGACGCTCAGCCTCTCCCCTTAAACTCCTAACAGTCATCATCATGGTGACGCTCAGCCTCTCCCTTAACTCCTAACAGTCATCATCATGGTGACGCCTCAGCCTCTCCCCTTAACTCCTAACAGTCATCATCATGGTGACGCTCAGCCTCTCCCCTTAACTCCTAACAGTCATCATCATGGTGACGCTCAGCCTCTCCCCTTAACTCCTAACAGTCATCATCATGGTGACGCTCAGCCTCTCCCCTTAACTCCTAACAGTCATCATCATGGTGACGCTCAGCCTCTCCCCTTAACTCCTAACAGTCATCATCATGTCAACCACAACACAGAGAAATACTGATATAAATGTGTGTGTAGTTGTTGATACATTGCTGACAGAGGGAACTACGTTTGAATACAGATTTAAGAAATATCCGTTTTTGATCATGTAATAAACATGTTTTGTCTTGACTATTACAACAATATTACAATACAATAATATAGTATTTATATTATTGAATTGATTATGATTATTATTAGTAGTAGAAGTAGTTTATTTGCATTAATTATATTGTAATCTTTTTGAGGCTAGTATGTGGCAGGAAATGCAGACGTATTCACCTGTAAACGCATAGTGAACGACATACATGCACATTTACCATTTACCTCACTGTATACAAAAGTAACTGTTGACAATAATAATAATAATAATAAACAGGAATTATATTTGCAAAGAAGCCTACTTTGTTTCCAAAAACATTTTTTTCACAACTGTCGGTTGGGGGGGGGTGGCCTCATCTCACAATGTCGCTTGGGGCCCCAAATTGGCCCTGAGTGGATATCTCTGTCTCTTCACACACACCTTAACCCCCCCCCCCCAATAGCTGCAGGTCCCTAAACATTTGCTGATTGGTCAGGATACTGGCTGGTCGGATACAAGAGCATGAAGCAGGAGAAGATGGAGCAATCCTATTTAAATCTCAGAACAATTCAGAGCTATATTCAGTGGTCTGGAACCAGGCTAATCTAAAGTGTTATATATATATAATCTAAAATATATTTTAGGTTTGTTAGATCAATTCTTAACTTTTGTTCCTCCATTTTACAGCCTTGGTTGTGGGATCGGCTACGGTTACCTGCACAGAATTCCTACAAGGCCTTTTGAGGAGGGGAAGAAGATCAGCTTTCCTGGAAACCCCCCCAGTGAGCCCCTCAGTCCGCTGAAGGACGGATTCACTGAGGTCAGAACACACACCAACACACACCAACACACACCAACACACACCAACACACACCAACACACACCAACACACACGCGATACATAATCAGGGTTGAACTCAACAATAACTCAAACCCTTAGTTTGGATAAGAAACATGCTCAAAGCAAAGATCTTAAGTATGAATGTAATACCTCATGTATTCACATTTGAAGGTACCTATGTCTATGACATGAACATCATCTAGTCATTTAAACATTTGATTTACAGATAACTGAAGCCATTTTATAAATGTAATTATTATTTATGGGAAATAAGGGGACTTTTTCTATTAAGTCATTTAAAGGAATTTGGTGTTTTTGGAAAGAATTTAGTGATTTTCAGAAAAATGTGGTCTTTAAAAATAAAATAAAACGGATTAAAACATGAAGTCCTTTTTTAAAATGTTTATTAGATGTGAAGTTGTGTGTTCTGTAGACTCTGCTCACACTGTAAAGATGCAGGTTCCCTCAGTATGTAAGCAGCAGAGCCGGCAGGAGGACGGAGAGCTGTGGTGGTACATTGGGATGAGTGTGACCTTTTCCCTCCACTGCCTCCTTCAGGTGCAGCTCTCAGCAGTGACCCCCCCTCCTGCCCCCACAGGCCTTGGAGATTCACTGTCTGGCCTGTCAATCAGCACGGCCCCGCCCACCATGCCCCGGGAGCTGCAGACAGGTATTTCTCTTTTTTCACCCAAGAAATCGGTTATATGACGGTGTATTTACTCCACATATTTAAATCTAATGTGTTATATGTACCCCCCCTCAGGGTTGCCTACAGTGCCTCTGCTCCCCACCCTCAGCCCACTCACTCCACTGAATCCCGCCGCCATCGGCTTCAACCCCGCCTCCGGCTTCAACCCTGCTTCCACGCTACCAGGTGGGTGATTTCCAAACACACGCCATCAGTCTGCTGAGTCAGCAAACCTTGCATAGCAAACGTTTGCGAAAGCAGAGGCAGACACATAACAGCTCGCCCTCTCTCTCTCTCTCTCTCTCTCTTACATGAGTGTGTTCATACCTTTCCAGAAAACATAGAAATGTCTGCCTCAACTGTATTAGACAGTACTAGGTCTCAACCGCTTCAACTGTCTAAACATAGCCTTTGTGTGAGTTCCCATGAACTGTCAGCTGTCGGAATTCCCACCATCCATTTTTTTTAATAAGAGATTGTCCAAATCGGGTTAAATCACATTCACTCTTGTGGAATATTAAAAGTTCTCTAATTTATTTTCCATTGTGGCTTCATTACAATACTAGAGTCGACTAACTGTAGTGTAAATATCATTCAAAATGAATGAATGTATAACAGCATTGTGTGTGTGTAGGTCTGATGCCCCTCCCAGCTGGCTTACCTCCGCTCCCTCACCTGCCCAACCTCAACCTGACACTGCCAGACCTCAGTGCCATGACCCTAGCAGGCACCTTACCAGTAGGAACCGGTAAATACAGCATCGCTATCCCACAAACAAAACAGGCATCAATCTTTGCCCAAAAGATGTAGTATATAAATACCATGTTGTTTTATGTAGTATGTATTACTGGTCACCCTCACTGATGCTTAATGTGAACATTATACATATAAAACCTAGCAGCGATGCGCTCACCTTCTCTCTTGTTTTCTCTTCTTTCTCCCTCAGTCCCCTCTCTGGCTTCGCTCCCTTCCTTCAACTTCCCCGGCCTGGCCCCCTTACCCCCTCTCCTCCCCCAGGCGATGCTCCCCCTCCTGCCCCCCCATCCCACAGCCTCCGTCACAGTCACGGCAGCGCCCGCCCCCGAGCCTGCCGCCGTCCCCACGGAAACAGCCTCCTCGAACACCACGGAATCAGCGCCTCCGACGGAAACAACGCTAACCTCATAACCTGGGAGAGAAACATCCCGCTTGCCATCAAACCAAAACACACACCCGGTTTCTCTCCCTCCCCTTTCTCTGTATTTTTCTATTTATTTGGCCAAGAGGGACACGCACAGGTGGGCACCCTCCAGGTTTGGGTGAGGAAGCGATGAAGGATGAGTGGATATGAAGAATGGAGGACGGCTGTGGACCGACATGTCTTTATGACCAGATCGTCACGGAGCTCGTCCACGCCCCAGAGGAGGACTCTCACACACAACAAGGACTTCCCCCTTTCTGATCTGGCAAGCCGCTCTGTTTCACTCTTGTTTTTTTTTATATATAAACAGTGTATGTTAACGGGACTGGACGATAGATTTACTGTATCTACATTATAAATTAACCTGCCACACTTAAATGAAACTGGACTAAAGTGGGTCAACAGGAGAAACGCACTGCTGTATGAAAACAGGTAAACCATTACTTTTTTGATCTCATCATCCAGCCCTGACATGTAACCTTTTATTAGTGAATAGGACCCCTGACCAATAGATCGATTTGATTGACATGTATACATTTCTGTTGGAAATTGCTGTATGAGTGTCTCCACCCAATGAATGAATCTGCATTATTTTGCACCACCTTTGTGTTCTGAAATGATTAGTCTGTCCCTTTGTATGTATAACCAGAACTCTATAGGTTCCATTTTGACCACACCGGGAGGTAACAGCTTAAAGGCTGTGCCAGAGGGCGGGGCAGGGGTGTACACTTATAAAGCATGCTGCATTTTGTGTGTGATCAGTAGGGAGGGTGGGACATGAGGTGTTTATTTTGCAGTACTGTACGTCTCCTCCTGACATGGCTGAACTGATAGGCAGGTGCAGTGATGCAGTACGACCACCAGGTGTCACTGTAACAGCTTACTGAAAACATCCACACTGTACAGCGCGAGCAATAAAGCCAAATTAATTTTACATGATGCTTCCTGTGTCTTTATACAGTGAGGGTTTCTTTTGCATACTCTGTAACAAATAAACAAACCAAAAACACAAAATGGTTCGTCGTAATTATTGAGATAAAATAGCATCTTTGTGCACACTGAATATATTTCAACGTGAATTTTTCAGTTTAAAGTATAATTCTGAGAAAATCCACCTTAGAAATGCCTTCAAATATCGTGAATCTGTATTAAGAATGAACAATGTGCTTCCTCATTCAACTCTTATTATACATCCATGATTCAACTGCGTCACTCCCTGCGCTCCGTCTTCTTCTAGTGACTAACCCTGGACAGTCAAATACGGTCACACTGCAGGAATTAAGACTTGTAAGGCAATCTTTATTGCATATGAACATGGCCTAGCGTTGACCGCCACAAATATGATCCCACACACGTAGCTTACAAATGTCTGCACTTACATTAATCTCTTTATGAATGTCAATCATTTGGTTTAATACCGGCACCCATTTTCATTGTTTCTATGTCAAGTAGATGAGAAACGGGAGAAATTAAGACCGTAGTGGAGAGGAACTGGATATAATTACAATTGATCAAACTCGACACCTAGCCCGTGTCTATGTGCCAATTCTTTTTGACCAAAAGTGACTTTTTTTTTGTTGAGTTCTGAAACTAAACTCAGAATTCTGAGAAAAAAAACCTTTCGTCACTTTTTATTTATTTGTGAGCAGCTAACCGTGAGCAGGTACTTCCTGGACATCTCTCTTTGGCTTCTCTGTTCATCTAACAGGCAGCTCTAGTACAAATAAAATCAATTAAGACTTGCCACTTGTCTTTTATCTGACAGTTTGTTTTAAAGATGACTTTTGGGCCTGTTAAGACCTTTTTAGAATGATAGATTTGAAGGGGGTAAACATCGGTTTCTAACCTGCGTCCTTATCAGATTTCTCACCACAGGCCCGCTTTAAGGCAGGCTGCCTACATTTTAAAAAGGGGTTTTATGATGTCACAACACAAACAGGTAAGTGTTTTATTTACAGGACGACAACATTTGGATATATTCTCTCTATTCTGAGTAAACCACGCTGCAACAGCCCAGAGCTTCTTCTGGCACGAGAAGGTGTGACGTCCCTCGCTATGCAGCATACTGCTCCAAAAACAAATGTGGACATGTTGGTTGCAAATGTGTTGCACCCCCCCCCCCCAACAAAATAGCACAGCAGGATCTCTGCAGTGTTCAGTTCAAGTATGCGAGGCATTCACACAATTCAAAACAAAAAAAGGCAACATTAATAGCAGCAAACTGAGAACAGCTTTTGGGAAATAGACGCAGGGAAGCAACGGAGAAGCCTCAGTTTTATGTATTTGCTAACGAGTAATGTCTCCAGCACATGAAATGCACACTGAGTGTCACAGAGTGTTCAGCAGTAACGGCTGATCCAGTCCCTCGGGTCAGCGGTTTCAAAAACATCTCATCTGAACAACAAAAATGGATTAAGACAGATGCTCAGATCCACTTCCTGTAAACTTGGCGGTAGATCTGAATTGCTTCGCGACAAAAAAAAGTAGAACTGATGGAGCCCACGCTGAAGTACTTCATGCCAAATGTGTTGACACCAGATCACCGTGATCGGAAGTGCAAATAAACACCAGAAGTTTAATCTGGAACTTTTTTCTCAAGTCCCATCAAGGTAACATCACTTTTAAGTGCAGAGGGACTATAAGGGTAGAAATAATTGACGTTTATGAGTCCTTTTGGATTGCAGTGTTCATCTGAGCTTGATGGAAAGGTGCACCTCTTCAGCCCTTTCTTCTGCTACCCGCTGCTCAAACCAACGGCCAATCAGTGACGAGAGAACATCTGGAACAGTGGCATGGAAAGGGCATCAATAGGTTCTGAAATGTCTCTTACGGGGTTATTTATTAAAGTCCATAAAGAATCCATGGCTCCAAACAAAGCCGAGCCCCTCTTCTTACCTCACACGTTGAGTTCAAGGACATATGCAAACGGAGCATCCTTCTCTCTTACTTTTGTCCATTTCTGTTGCTTATTTATTCATCCATTTGGAAACAGCTCAGGTAAACGAACAAAAAAGATAGATTCCTGCCCTGTGATAGGCCAGAGTTAGTCATGTGACAGTCAGTAGGTGGCGAGGGATGAGGAGGGCTGCAGGGTGCCGGAGGAGGTGGAGCGTCTCATGTGTGGGAGGAGGTAGGAGTCTGAGCACAGCTGGTGGACGTCGAAGCGGTCCTCCTTACGGTAGGCCAGACAGCGGCGGATAAACGCCTGCAGGGGACAATTATTAGTGTGTGTGTGTGTGTGTGTGTGTGTGTGTGTGTGTGTGTGTGTGTGTGTGTGTGTGTGTGTGTGTGTGTGTGTACACTTCATAATCATAAGAGGAGATATTGTACCTATTTATAGCTGCACATTGGACATTATTCATATGTTACAGCATGTGTAAACAGCCTTATGTATGAAAGCACTTGGTGGACATCAATACATCAAATAGTGAAATTGAAACTTATGCTCGACTATGAATTTTTAAAAACTGTTTGTATATTTAATGGCATTTCCTGCGTTACCTTGGCCTCTGTGGTAGCCTGGGGTTTAGCGGGGAACTGGACCTCGGTGGCTTTGAGGATGGTGTTCTCCTGGAGGATGTCCTGCTGGGACTGGTTGTGACCAAACGGCTGGGGAAACAAAGCAAGGAGAGATCATCAGTGATACGGAGAACAACATTTAAAGCATGAGAATGGACCTGATTGGGCTACATCTCTGTAGCAGGTGGTGTTGTACCTTGCGTCCGTAGAGGCACTGGAAGAAGATCACTCCCACAGACCAGACGTCCACCTTGTTGGAGATTTTAGGGGGCTCCTTCCCCACCACAAAACACTCTGGAGGAAGATACCTGACACACACACACATCATATAATATCACAGAGAGCTCAAACATGTTTTTCTCAAACCAGGACTCCTAGGGTCCTTCTCACTTTGGTTAAATGGATTCCTTGCGTCCCTCACTTGCGTCGTTTCCCTGCGTTTAGTCCCTCCCACCAGGGAAGCATGGAGGGACGCAAGGAAACCACGAGAAGCAGGGAAATGAGTTTTAAGAGCAATGGGACGAACTTTCCTCCGGAGCGTCACGTGAAGCGACGTCCGTTTGTGATGACGCTGCACAGCTGATCGTCTGACAGCAGCTCTGTCCCCATTGTTTCCACACCCCCCCACCTCTGTTAGTAGCCTACACATTTACTGACATATACATTTGTATCATCTGTTGTAGACCCAAATAAATGAAATAAGAACTCATTCTCAAAAAAGATAAACGCCGTTCTTAAAATGTATAAACGAAAAAAGCGATCGTGAAAATGTTTCCAAAAAATGAATTAAATGATTTTTGACCACTTTGTTGTTCAGATATATCACATATTTGTAACTAAATGATACATGAATTGAAACAAAACACGGTATAAACTGAGGAGTGACTCCCGTGAGGTTCATGTATTTTCTTCACTCTGCTCTCATGTCAAGAAGCATCAGATCAGTGCATGCACTGCATCGTCCAATCAGTGAGCGATACACAGTAAGGGGGCGGGGCGAGTGTCTGAGGATTTCACCGAAGGATGGTCTGGTGGTTCCTCGGTTATCGCTCCTCGCTCCTCTGGCAGAAATAAGGCCATAGGGACGCTACTCAAGATGGCGCAGACAAATCAACTTCCGGTGAGACCGAGGAGCGAGGAGATGAAAAATAAGAGAAGTGAGAAGGGCCCTAGATATTACGTTGATTATTTCAATAGTTATGTATCACGACGAGTATGGTCGATAACACAAGACAGATAATGTTTCATGTATCCGTCTGTGACAGTGTGTGTGTGTGTGTTACCAGTAGGTGCCTGCTCCCTGTGATGTGAGGTCCATCCCGTCCACGCCGTAGTTATCATCGTCCATGATCTTAGACAGGCCAAAGTCTGTGATTTTGATTTCTCCACACGCAGTGCCATCAACCAATAAGATGTTGCCTGCAGAGAGACAGAGACTCAGGCTCAGATACTGCGTACAGCGGTGTGGAGGACACAACACTTTTGAACAAGAACTATCAGGTTTCAGAACAAGAGGCTTGTATGTGTTTAACACTCAAAGCAGACGACGTCTTACCTTTTATACCGAAACATACTAATCACTAATGTATCAAATATATTTTGGATGTTTTTTATTTTTATAATCTTATTACAAAAAAAGATAATAGTATATGTCGAAAATATCACAAAAACTACTTGGTGTAGTTTGTCACAATTACGCAAAGAAAACGGCAATAAATATAATACAAACTTTGAATGATATTTTTCTTTTTTGAAAACCATTACATTTACTTTTGAAATCCTTTTTTATGACGTACACCTTTTAAAGCTTGTTTTTTTGTCACTCTACGATGAGTTTCTTTATGACCTTTGTATGGCCTACTTTGACAAACAGAGTAGGCCCCTTTAATGACTCCTATGATTCATTGAATAACTTTGTTATTTATGGGACTCACCAGGTTTGAGGTCGTAGTGGATGATGGGGGGTTTGATTTCGTTGAGGTAGCGCAGGGCGCTCACGATCTGCATGACGATGGAGCGGGCCTCCTTCTCCGACATCAGCTTGTTCTGCTTCAGGTAGAAGTCCAGGTCGTTGCCTTCACAGAACTCCAGAACTGTACAGAACCTGCGGGAGGGACGCAGAGACACACACACACGGTTACACACAGGAGAAGAGGATCAACAGCTGAATGTGAACACATCGAGGCACTTAAACTGAACTTATTGGCACAAAATGATATAATACTATCCTCAGGAGATTGGATTTCTACCAAAGCAGTTTATTTTAAAAGCTGAGAAGACTTTAGGCTTTCACTTCCCCTCCTCCATGCAAAGGTCAGAGGTCAGAGCCAGGAGCCTTTCTTAAGTTACCAGCTGTAAATGTGAGCTTCTAAAGCTTTGCTAGCATGTGCAAGGGGCTGAGAGGCAGGGTAGTGGGAGGCACCTACATTCCCAACAGGTGGCTCCACCCTCTTCCAATTAGCAGTATTGGCAGCAGGTGTGGAGACCTCACACCT